TTTGGCCCGAATTAAGCCTAATTTAGGCCGAAAATTGAAATTACACCCCTGCGCGTTATTTCGCGGTTATACGGTATATCGGAGATCATTGTTTACTTTTTAACCAATACCGATATTATTGGTTTTCTTTTTCTTTTTTTTTTTGACAGCGTGTCGTCGTAGTATCTTATTATGTGTCGTAGTAGGTGTCGTTATAACTACTATTGTGCCAATGTGGGGTTTTTTTTTCATTTCGCTTTTGGTACATTTTGCTTTTATTAGTGTAATGTTTTTCTAGTGCCTTTGACCTTTTTTGTCGTAGTTTCGCCAATTGCACATAGTGGTACTTCGGTATTGTACTGCACTACGGTCGTCGTTTCGCTGGTGGCACTTAGTGGTGCTCCGGTGTTGCACTGCCTGTCGGTCATCATTATTTGGAGTTTTGTTTCACCGGCATCATCGTTTGTTAATGGCGATGCAGGTTGTTTGCATTGGTGCTATTAGTGAGTAGGATTAGGGTTAGATTATTAGATTAGGCAATTACTTGCATCTGAATGAAATGGTTGATGCAAAGAGTGCTTGAGGACACTCGGGAAGTTAAGATTAGGCTGATTGACGAATAAACTCCATCACGATAATCGAATGAATGATTCGTACGTAATGGGAAATAGGCATTTATGTTCTGGATTTGTAAACTTGCTTTGCTATTTTTAATTCAAATTATTAATAAATCACATTGCGTTCTGAATGGAATAATTAGAGCGAATGAGTGATTTGAAGACCAACAAATTACGTCGAAAGAGCTGCCTGAGAACCCTCACTCAATAGGTCAAGGTTAGGATAATTATCGTAAGAAACCAACATGATATATTAGCTAGTTGTAATAATCAACAACTAGCTGACGTATCATATCGGTCTACGCATTATGTTGGTCTCTTACAATTATTTTAATTGCAATTGTGCGATCATGATGTGGATACATAATGGCAAATAGGTATTCAATTTTTTGATTCGTGAATTCGAATTATTAATAAATTATTAGGCCACAAATTATATTGGAGGGGAATTGCTATATAATATCCGGCATAAAGCCCAGATTTGGGAAAGCGATAAATAAGCTTGTACAGATTAGCTTTGGGTATTTCATAAGTTATGCGGGACGAATGTTTTATTTAGGGATTCGGGTTTAGGAAATTAATAAGATACACACATAAGCCGATCACCTTAATGATTATACTCTTCTTAACCGTTAATCGTGTGTTCAACTAACTTCTCTCTGTCTATCTAATTATCTATCCTCTCATTTTATTAATAAAGGGCAACTTTTATATATTTACAGTGTTCCTATGCTACACCCGATTTAGAAATTACGATAAATGTAAATATGAAATATTCACACACACATGATTATGAACATGTTAACAAAAATTTATGTGACACTGGAGTTTGCTTTATTTTAGTATTTTGAGTTAGTGTTAGTTAGCCAATATTTCTGTTGGAGAATTCATAATTATTTAGTTATAGAATTTTGATTTGATTGCCTATTTAAGTAAAAAAAAAATTAATACTATATAAGCGCGAAATAACGGTCAAGGATTATGTCCGTTAATCCAATAAGAATTGTCAATTTATAAGATCATCATTATGAATTTATATCGGTTTTACTTAGACGAGTAATGTTTATTTAGATAATATATCCATAAATTATAGGGGAATTTACAAATAAGGGCCCAAAAAATGAAAATAATTACAAACAAGGGCCTAATATAAAATTATTACATTTA